AAAAGTGGATGAAGGGAGCCGTCGGACAGGGCAAGATATGACAAAATACCAATTTATAAACTATCAAGGGCTCATGTGGGAGGGGGGAGCGGGGAGGGAGGGGAAAAATGAGGACCTAATGTCGGGGGTTTAAATGGAGAGAAAATGTTTTGAGAAATGATGTACAAATACGCTTTACACAATTGATGTGTGTATGGATTGGGATAACAGTTGTATGAGCCCCTAATAAAATGTTTAAAAAAAAAAAAAAAAAAGCTTCTCTTTAGAGGTTAGTATCAGTGCTCAAAGTTCATTAAAACTTAAGTGGCTGATGACTAAACAGTGATGCGATAGTCCACTTCGTACTCCTTTGACCAGTGGGTTTCAAAAATCTTGCTTTGATTTTGGTTTCTTGTTTGCTTTTTCGTTTCTCACTCGTGTTCTTCTCTACTTCTCCCTGATTCGTATCCCTTTGGTCTTTGAAAACACCACGCCATCTTTCAAGCCCATTTCAGTTCTTTTCCTCCACCTGTTGACAGCTGTCTTAAAGGAGTCCTCCTGGGAGAGTGGGTTCAGCGTTGGGCTGCTCACTCTTAAGGTTAGCAGTCACTTGGCGGTGGGAAAGATGAGGAGATCTTCTCCCATAAAACCTACTGCCTTGGAAACCCTCTGCAGGGTCATTGTGAGTCAGTCGACTCCCTGGCAGTGGGCTATATTGTCACTTTGAGAACTAGGGTGTGCCTGACCCAAGCCATGGTGTCAGTCACCTCCTGCCTGCGAAAGCTGGGCAGTTCGTGAAGAGTCCATGCATGTGATGAGAGTGCTGACCCTACCTGGACTGCCAGAAGACTGAAAGCTCTGGCCTCTTAGAAAAGGTGGCGAGACTTCCCCTCTTGTACTTTGAACGTGTTACCGGAGAGACCAGTCCCTGGGGAAGGACATCATGCTTGGTAAAGTAGAGAGTTGGCAACCAAGAAAGAAGACCCTCCGGTCGATAGATTGGCACAGTGGCCCCAACAACGGGTTCAAGCATAGGGATTTTGTGGGTGGCGTGGGGCCAGTCGGTGCTTTGTCCTGTTGTACACTGGCTCGCTGTGACTCCAGATTGGCATGACAGCACCGCACAGCGTCAGCAGCATTGCCATTCATGTGGGTACTGGGTTTGTCCTCGGGACATTCTGGGTAGTGACTCCACAGAATGGTCCTTGCAGGAATTTTTCCCAAAGGAAGTGAGAGGACGTGGTGCGTGATAGGGGATGTCACTACTAGTATGTGCACTTGGAAGAGGGCATAGAAACTTCTGGGAACATGGAGTATGAAACAGGAGACTTGTGGCGAGGATGAGGAGCCATAGGGGGCAGTGGGTTAGGCATTGGGCCGCTAACTGCGGGTTCAGCGGTGGAGACTCGATGAGATGGGATTGCCTGCTCCTGAGGAGCTGTCGTCTCAGAGCCCGATGGTTCCTGCCCTGCCAGGTTGTGGGGAGTTGGATCGACTCATGGCCATCAGTGGTGCCTGAGTGGAGGGAATGAGGATAGGGAGCAGGCTGCCAGTGAGGGATAGAGGCGGGGTCCCGGGAGGGTGCGCCGGTGGGCTCCTAGGGTGGCACAGTCACGAACTCCCAAATGTCATCGTTCCCTGTCAGAGACCTGAAAGATGGTGCATGGGTTCCAAACATCGATCAAGCCCTTCTTTTCTAAAAAAAGATAACAAGATATGACAATAATTAATGATTTCAGTTCTTTTCTGAGTTTTAGATGGTGAATCCAATTGATAGTACTATTAAGTTCGCCTGGATGAGGTTGAGAAGTCCAATATCAGGCAGCGCTTCCCTCTTCTCTAGATTAAATCCTAGACTGCAAGTGGAATTCCACTCTAGTAGCTCTCTAGAGAGTGATTTTTATGCATTGCCCACATGGCATAAAAACTGAGTCCCACTGATTTAAGAATGCTTTCTCCTACATTTATAAGACTGTACCAGTGAGTGCTTTGGTGTCGAGTCCTTTTACATCTAACATTGACTTGAGGGAGGGGCTCGGGAAGGGATGGTTTTGAGGTTCCAAAGTTAGATGATGCCACCCTGATGGTCTGAATAGATTGATTGATTTTGTGCCAGCCGTTTTTGAAGGTGATAGCAGACCTTGCTTGTTCAAATGCTTTTGATGACGCTCCAGTGGGTGTGTGGCTTTAACTCTTGATGGTCAAACTCACCTGGTTTGGTGGTTCCATCTGCCAGGGTCCTGCTGCCTGATGGGTCCTGCAGTCTCAGGTCCTCAAGGAAGGCCAGCTGCAGGGCCATCATGGTGATAGCAGTGGACAGAGCCAGCTCAGGTCTGTAGGAAAGGGACTGGACCATCCAGCTCCGACTGTTGATCTGGTGCCTAAAAAGAGGTCCTTCTAGATGCAGCTTTTAAAGTCCGTCGAGAGAGAGAAAGCGAGGGAGAGGGCGAGAGGCAGGCAGGCAGGCTGTGGTGATGATTACCTCCAGTTACTGCTGAGCTGGCCACTTCATTCCTGTTTGGGAGGCTCGCACGATATTTTGTAAACCCCGGCATCTTAAGTCTTCTTAATGTCATGCATAAGCATCTTGAATATAGAAGTATTCTCTGAGCTTACTGACTAAAAGGAATCCTGGTGTGCTACAGGTTAGGCATTGGGCTGCTAAACACAGGGTCGTCAGTTCAAAATCAACAGCCACTCAGAGGGAGAGAGCTGATGTTATCTGCTTCTTAAAACCCTACATGAAGTTACTGTGGGTTGGAATTGACTAGATGGCTATGGGTGTTGCAGGAACGCCAGACATTTCTTGTTGAAGAGAGTAACCTAGCCATATTAGAAAAGTTCTATTCATGTATGCTGCCAGCCCTGGCCATAGGGTTTATAAAAATTAGTCTTTTAAAATACCGACTAAACATCATGGTGCGATTTGCTAGAACATCAGTAGGTATAGGAAGCGTCTTTTGTATTCCCATTTGCTTTTTGATGCTTTTCATTTTCAAAGTATTTCCATCTGGATTGAGTGTAATATGGGTAATTTCATCATGAAAGAACCTACCCAGCAATTAGCTGCAGTGAAATGAAACAGCACAGAGGAGAAGCCAGTTGTGGAATCCTTTCTGTGCGCCATGAACAGGACTGTGAATGTGGCTTGTGATCTGTTATTCCATTTTTACTGCTTTAGAGATGAGAACTTTTATTTATGCCTTTCACTTTTAGGCAGCTTCAAACAGGACAGGCATTTTTTGCTGTGTTTTGAACTGGCCATGATTCAGATGCTGCTCACGCCGACAAATACGACTGCACGTCCTTGCCATTTGAAGGGAGCCAGGGCTACTTGCTTTTCTCATCCGAAAGCGCGTCCATCTGAGTGGCGACATAAGTTACTGCTGAAAGCACTGTCTCTAGAGTCAGACCATGTATGAAATGGCTGGAATGTTGAGGGACAAGCATGAAGACCCCAAGAAGCCAGCTTTCTCGTGTTGCCATTAAAAGCCCCGCAGGCCTCCTTTCCCCCACGTCACATTGGCTGGCCATTGAAGGAGCACTGTTTGCCAGGGAGGGCGGGGTGGTCTTGCATGGGGCTGCCGGTGACCTGAATGGAAGCCCACAGCAGTTGCAATTTCATTTCAAAGAAATCCTTTGTGTCCTGTTAGCATGATGAAAATTGGATATTTTGGTAGAACCTGCACTTTCAGAAAGTTTTCTGTAAACAGTTCCTGTTATTGTATTGCTGGTTGATAAAATTTAAATTTGGGAAGCACTCTTAGATGTCTCTCTGGCAGAATCCCTCATCATGTAGAGTCTAAATGATACTTTCAAATTGCACGGCTTTGGCACCCACTAATGCTATCTTTGCTGCAGCGATGGGGTCTGGGGTTGGGGTGGGGTCGCAGCCACTGTATTTTGTACACTTGACACTTTGGCTAAGTGGAGAGCATCCCAAATGCAGTTGCTGGGCCCGCAGCTCACTGTTCATCTGCCGTGAGTCCGGTCTTGTGGACCTGTGCACTCTGCGCTTCCTCTTCCCACGCCATTGTCAGGGCAGGCGCAGGCCTCCTCATTTCGCTGATCAGTGTCCCGTGTGTAACCCTGACAGAATCCAAATGACTTCTGTTCCCCGGGAGGGCTTAGCTGGCTTGGCTGGGGAGCAGCAGTTCAAGGGGGACTTGGAAACGTTTAGTCCTCCGATGGCATCTCATTGTCATTAATTTCCATTTAGAAAGATTGAGTGTTTTTGCTACTTGATCTTTTATTATTATAGTAAATCTCTGAGGACTGGAAATGTTGAGTTCGTAAATAACGGAGGAGGAAACATTAGAAATTGCTGTCATGCATTATGTATGAAGTGACTTGACAGTCCTCATTTCAGGGTCGAGCTGTAATTTGCTTTGTCATTTGTGCTTGCTCCCTTCCCCTAAGAGAAAGTTTAGATTTCTTTATTGAAAAGCTAAGAGAAACCGGCACAACACTCAGTGTCAGATGACATTCCAAAGCCTGCTGTGTGCTTCTGCAGCGAGAAGAAGACCTGCAAATAGGACCCAAGTGCAGGGTGAGCGGAGCGAGCAGAGGCCTGATTGTAACGCCCAGGGCAGTTATGAAGACCCCTTCCCGCCAGGCTCCTCGCTCACACCGCTTCCTCAACCGGGCTGGGGGTTATATCTGCACCCTCGCTTTGCATTCCCTCAGTGTTGGGGTAGCACACCGGGTCAGGAACATACCAACCGCTCCCTTGGCAGATGTTTGATTATGGAGGGATCAGGAGATAAAACTATAAAGAATGAAATTATTGCCTCTTACTTGCTTTTATACACATTTCAAAGCTGTTTAAATTAATTAAAGCAGTTGTATATGGATCAGAATATTGCTTTTGTAGAGACTAATGTATTTGCTTTAGGTCTTCTTATTGGGAAGTTTATGTAATGTTTTTTTTTTTTTCTCCTGTCCCCTTTGGCTGCGCACTTATTGGGTGAAAATGCCCATTTATTGGGTGCAATTAATTTGATGAAAATTCACTCCTGAAGTTCACAAGATTCCTGTGCAGCTCACCTTTGGAGGTAAGAACTTCCTCACGGACCTCTGGACTAGAATTACTAATGGATGTCACTGTTGGTCTATGGCCATTTCTTAGATAATTTGTGAGTGATCCTTTGAATGGGCCAGGCTTTTTTCTTTTTTTTTTAATTTTTTAAACTTTTTATTGTTAATTGTGTGAAGGCTTCCAGAGCAGATCTGTTTTCCATTCAGCAATTCATACATGTTTTGTTTCAAATCACTGATTGCTTTTCTCACGATGTACTATCACTTAACTCACTTCCACTCTGTGCTTCTGGTTTCTGTTCCTCATCTTTTCTTAGCCCTTCTGAACTTTGTCTTGCCTTTTGATCTCAAGTGATGGATTACCTTTTTTTTTTAATCACTATTGGGGGCTCGTACAACTCTTGCCACAGTCCGTCCATCCATCCATCCATCCATCCATCCATCCATCCATCCATCCATCCATCCATGTGTCTGGCACATTGTACACTTGTTGCCATGATGGACACTTCTAAAGGTATGCTTTTCTCTCTAGTTCTGTTGTTCTCCTTATAGACTTGTCTATCATTAGTCTTGTAGCTCCCACATTATTGATGGGACTATGCAAATAAAGTGCTGGGGCCCACCACGGGCATTGGACGGTATTTCTAATGATGTAGATCAGTTGCACAGAACCCTGATGAGGGGTTTGGGTCAGTTTTGCTATCCTGCTAGGCTTTAAAGAGGGCCAGTCCCAGAGCAAAGAGATCTCACTACTATAAGAAGAGCCAGGCGCGAACACATCCTTTTGACCAAGGGTCTTGCACTGAGAACCTCATCGACCATGAGACAAAGAGGAGCTGTAGAACCAGAGACCGCAGAGAACCAGCAGCAGCAGTAGAACCAGGAGACAAGTGTGAGATGGCACAGGGCTTCTTGGACCAACAGAGAAGGGCGACTACAGTGGATGTGCCAGCTTCCCGAGTGAGATTGCTGAGCACCTAACTGGCAAAGTGGTTCCTTTAGGTATCATTGGCTGAGTTGAAGAGCTTTATAACACTTGTCCTACCTAGCTTAGGGACTGAGAAGCCGAAGGCTGAGAGAGAGAGAGAGAGCGAGCCTGTCCTCGGGGCTTGTCCTGAAAGAGGAGCCCTTCCCGAGAAGAGCCCAGAATGGCTGAGTGCTGTCTTGCATCGAAGAAGAGAGATTTCACGTACATGCTTCCTGATACTGAATTATAACCTGCTCCTTCCCCAATAAGCTCATAACTGTGAGTATGTAGGGTCCACTGCGATGACTTAATGTAACCCAGCAAAGAAGGAGAGAGTGTTGTGGGAGGGATGGTTGGTGTCATAATTGGCAGAAAGATGGGCGAGAGGAGGTGGTACGCCTAGCTCTTCCTTATAGGAGTCGATGTTGAGTTAAGAATGGTTCTCTTCCCCTTCATGCAGTTACAGCACAAGACCTGACAATAACATGCCATTTTTTACATAAGCCGAACCAGTATTTTTTTTGAATTACATTTTACTACTACTCTTGAATATTGGGACATAGCTGTGGAAACTTCTGTTTTGTGGGTCTTTGAGGATCTTAGCACAGGGACCCTGAGACCACTTCAGGCTCTACTTCTGATTGTGGGCTCTTCTTCACTTTGTTCTGAGATTGGCTCCCTTTTAAATCTAGTGGGATAGCAAAACTGACCAATAAGGGAAGGGTTCCACATACCTTATTAACATGGCCCCACCCACAAAGGAAATAGAAGGGAAAGTGTCACCATCAAAGTTCAGGGATAATTTCTGTCTTTTTCCGTCTGCTCTGGACTTGCTACTTAACGGTCTGGGCTTGTCTTTTAGCTTGTCTAGATGGGCCTTTCTTCTTACTGGCCTGATGGACATAGGGGAGGAAACCAAAAATGGAGAGCTGCCCGTGCCCCCCTCTTTTCCTGGCGGGACACACCGTGAGGGATGTCTGCTGCTGTTCTTCTTGCTGGCAGTTCACAGTGGCCTGCTGATGCTTAGCTCCTGGCTGTCCCCCGGACGCCCACCGCAGCACTGAGCTCGGAGCAAAGCACCGCCAAGGCTGGAGACTTCGGGAAACGTCCTTAATGTCTGATGTTTGAGCTAGAGGAGGAAGAGGACAAGTAGGATAAAGACCCAGATACCTCCCCCGATTTGGAGGGACGGGATGGTAATCCTGACAGCGACCAGAGAAGACCCTAACCGAGACTTGCATGGAAAAACAAAGACTGTGGAATTTTATTTTACCCTTAGGGGGAAAAAAACAACCCCCAAAAAACAAAAAACTAACAACTGTGCCTGGGCCATGCATGCCATGTCGTTGTCGTCCCTTTGTTGTTAAGCCCTAAACGGTTAGCTGCCACATGATTCTAATGAAATTGTCAGGTTATAGTAATTACATCAGTAATGCGATCCATGTCATTTGAGCGGAGCCATGTGTGGAGACGCAGTAACTCTCTGTGGGGCTGACCCTGTTACATTCCTGTAAGCTCCAGACTAATAGAGCTCATTACGCTTTATGAGAAAAGAGCTTTTATCACCTCAAGCCAGGCAGCGGGTGCCCCTAATTGTGGGTGGCGGGGAGGTGGCTGATGCGTATGCTCAGCCATCTACACTGAGCCTGTCCCCTGCAAACGGTTTTATTGATGTCTCCTGAGCCTGAACCACAGTTTGTGTGGCACCACATACAGATGTCTCCAATTAAACACAGGTAAATAAAAGGGATTCTATGTCAGAGAACAGAAGATTCTTGGAATTCCCTTCCGAGTCAAACCTGGCCGGCCATTCCATGACTGCAGCCCCACCCGCTGCTGTCTCGGGGCCTGAGGGGACAAAAAGCTCTTCACCCTTGTGGAGGCGGGGGCTTGTGTGTCTTGTCCGGTGCTCGTGGTTTTCTCAACGTGCCTAGGACCTTTAGCCATGGAGCTGTCCATCTGTCTCTCATCACCGCACGCACCTGAAGTCTGACAGCAGTGCACTTGCAGGTCTCCCGATAGCTTACTGCCTGTAGTAATTCTGGTGGCGTAGTCTACACGTTGGGCTACGAACTGCAAGGCCCACCATTTGAAAGCACCAGCTGCTTCATGGGAGAAAGACGGGGCTTTCTACTCCCACAAACCATCTCAGAAACTTGCAGGAGCAGTTCTGCCCTGGAACCGCCCCATGGGTTTCCGAGACTGTTACTCTTTAAGGACGCAGAAAGCCCGAGTTTCTCCCTTGGAGTGGCTGGTAGTTTCACACTGCTGACTGTGTGGTTAGCAGCACAACACTAGGTTACCCCACTACGGCTCCACGTGGGAAGATAAAATATCATACCAAAAATGTCAGTCTAGGCAGGGGGAAAAAAGCACAAAGAGCAGGTAGAAACAAAACAAACAAAGAAGCAAAGTTAGACTTAAATTGAACTATTGGGAGCAATGGTCACATTAAATATAAATGGGCTAGACCAAAGCTCTGTGCCACACGGAAGTGCTCTGTATGTACATCTCACAGAGACGGAAGCCTTGGTCATGGGTAGAACCACGTTTTCAAATTTGAGACTAATTTCTGATTTCAGACTAGTTTTTAAAAAAACCAAGATCCACCTTACGTACAGAGATATGGATAGATTAAACCTCAAAGGAGAGAGTAAAGCATACCTTGCAAAACTAATCATGAGAACAAGGAGACAAAACAATTAGAAGAGATCGAGACTTAACACTATCTGTCAACTTAATTGACAATGGATAGAATGCTATACTCAACAACCGAAATTTAAAAACCCCAATTTCCAAGTACATCGGGAGCACTCACCAAGACAGCATAGGCAGGGCCATTATACAAGTCTCAATAACGTTACAAGGACTAAAATCTCCTCTGACCAAAGTAGAATTAAATTAGAAACCAATAACAAGAACTCTTATAACTCAATGCTACAATAGTATAAAATACCGGCAAAGGACTTTGAATAGACATTCCAACCCAAGAAGGCACAGAAATGGAGTATCTCTGTGATGGACTCCTATACAGTGGTAAAGTGAATCAAACTGCTGCTGGAAATGAAAGTGTGGCTAACCCTGAGAAGTGTTATACCAGGTGGAAAAATGCCAGACACAGAAGCCTGCCTACTGGGTGTTTGCACTTACGAGAATTGTCCGGAGAAGGGACATTGATAGGGTCAGAAAGTGGATCAGTGGTTTTCTGAAACGGGGCAGGTGGAAGAAGTGGAGACTGCAGGGGAGCTGGAGGGATTTGGGGAGAAACGTGCCAGTTGGATGGTGGTGATAGAGCTTCAACTACATAAACCTATTGAGATGAGACTTCTGTGCTCACAGCGAGTGAATGTTGTGTATCCATCAGCGGAGCCGGAAGAAGTGTATGACGTGACTTTGTCCTTTCATTTGCTGGACTGTAGTGGAAGAAGTCTTAGCTTCCTGTTCTTTACTGTGGCTCCAGTTGTGGATAGCTGTTTTGAGCAGTGTGTGTGTGTGTGTGGGGGTCAGTGATTTACTTGGGTCTTTGGAAGGAAGAGGAGATGGTGAAAAATGCTAGAGATTATGTGATTCCGTGGTGAGGGAGTTAGCAGGGTTAGTTGTGATGGCAAAACCTTGGAGCTCCAAGGCCAGTTCTGCCGTCTGCCGGGTGTGAACTGCGTCGTGTCAGAAGCAGAAGGGGTCTTGATTCCTTCAAGAAGGAAGAGCAGGAGTAGTGTGCTCTGGACCCCCAAGCCCCTGTGTACGGAACCCTGTAGACCCAGGAGACAGAAAGACAGCTGTGACCACAGCGAAAAGGCAGAGGAGTGGCAGTCGCAGCACAAGATGGTAGTGGGGGTGGGTGCAGGGGGTGGAGCAAGTGAGGCTGTCTTTGGCAGGAGGCTGGCTTGTGGAGTGGGATGCCTCAGGGAAGCTAGGTTTGCTGAGCCAATAAGTTTGAAGCAGGCCCCTTGGGGTTGAGGCTTCCGGTAGAGTGGAGTGCCCTTAGGGCATTTATTGGCAGTCCTAAAAGGGCTTTGAGGGATCTTCACCTCCTGGAGTTCTCTGAGGGAG